TCTAGGATCCGTTCAATATACAATGTGTACTAGTGTAACTAATCAGTCAAAACCAATTCTACGGTTAATACTATAACCGTTCAGATGGGGTGTTCATTTCCATCTAGGTTGTGAACCACAATTCTTGTTTCGCAAGTAACTGATAAAATGATCTTCGGTTTTCCCGATGACGACCCATTCTATCTAAATGCAAAACAACAGAACATAAACTTGTTTAATTAAACATGATTCTCATTCCAACGAGTTCAGTGTAAATACATCTAAAGACAAGCTTTCAGTATATACACCAACACATTTCTGCTCAGCACTCCTCCATAAAATGGCTCCACCTCCCAAGGTTAACACATATCCTGAGGTTGACTTACTCTCGTCCATGTATGACTGGAAATCAGAATTGTTATAATCCAATGGTAAGAAGATGTCTGCACAGTAAACTAACATGTACTCCTTAGTCTTTAACAGGTACTTGAGTATATGCTTCACCGTGGACCAATGTCTCTGTCCTGGATTACTTTTATATTTAGCTACCATGCCCACGGCGTAGCTAATATCTGGCCTCGTACACAGCATAGCATACATGAGACTTCTTACCACCGAAGCATAATAAACTGTCCTCATATCCTCTATATCTTGAGGTGTCTTAGGAGACATCTCCTTTTGATAAATGTATTCCATGTCCGAAAGGCAACTCTCCTTTCTTAGAATCCTGCATGCTGAACCTAGCCAAGACAGTGTCTATGTATGTAGACTGGGATAAGCACAATATTCTCTTCTTATGGTCCTGAAATACCCTAATACCAAAGTGTCCTGCTTCTCCTAAGTCCTTCATATCAAACTGTTTAGACAACAACACCTTTACGTCTCATAACTCATTCTTATTGTTTCCAATAAAAAGTATGTCATCTACGTAAAGCACAAGAAACACAACCATGCTCTCACTGTGCTTCTTGTACACACAGTGCTCATCCAAACATTGGGTGAATCCGTACCACTGGATCACCTCATCGAACTGGATGCTCCAAGATCTCGAAGCTTGCTTCAATCCATAAATGGACCGATTAAGCTTACACATTAGATGCTCATGTTCCTTTTCAATGAAACCTTCTGGTTGCTACATATAGATGTCCTCCTTAAGGTTTTCGTTAAGGAAAGTCGTCCTATCATCCATCTGTCAGACCTCATATTCCATATGAGTGGCTACAGCCAAAAGAATCCGAATGGACTTGAGCATGGCTACTGGTGAAAAGGTCTCATCATAATCGATTCACTCTTTCTGAGTATAACCTTTCGCAACAAGCCCAGCCTAGAAGGTCTCAACTTTCCCATCCAATCCTCTTTTTCTCTTGTAGACACACTTGCATCCAATGGGTCGTACCTCTTTGGGTAGTTCTACAAGATCCCAGACCTGATTGAAGCCTATTGATCCCATCTCAGCTTTCATCGCAACCTTCCATTATATTGCATCCTTATATCGGAGTGCCTCGTCATACGTCGTAGGTCTGATTCCAGCTCACTTGGTACTGAGTTTGATGACTCTCCAAGGAACATATATCGATCAGGTTGTATCACAACCCTCCCAATACGATGGCACTAGTGCACGCTCAGTGTGTCGTGTTGCAGTATTATGTGATATATCTACTTGCGCACTCGGTGGGGAACTCTTGACTTCAATCGTCAACTCTTCTAAGACAATTCTACTTGTGAGCTTGTGGTTCATAATATAATCTTCTTACAAAAATCTAGCTTTCGTACTAACAATCAGTTTCTGCGGGACTATAAAATAATCCACCTTTTGTTCCCTTGGGATAGCCAGCAAACACCCGTGCTTCTGAACATTTTTCTAATTTGTTAGGTTCTTGCACCAAAACGTGTGTAGGGCTACTCTATACTCGAAACTATGAGAAACTGGGCCTACGCCCTTTCCATATCTCATAAGGAGTAGCCTTTATCGACTTTGATGGAACCATGTTTAGAATATACGATGTTCTTTCCAACGCTATACCCCAAAACGAATTGGGTAACCTTGAATAACTCATCATTGCCCTAACTATCTATATAAGAGTTCTATTCTTCGTTCTGTAACCCCGTTCGGCTGCGGTGTGCCGGGTGCAGTCAGTTGGTATTCAATCACAATTTCTGATAAGTAAGTCCTAAACTCTCCAGGTACTCGCCACCTCGATCAGATTGAAGTTACTTGATACTCTTACCATGAAGCATCTCTACAACTGCCCGATACTCCTTGAATTTCTCAAAGCATTCGGACTTGCAGTGCATCAGGTAGACGTACCCAAATCTCGAGTAATCATTAATGAAAGTGACAAATTACTCGTAACCTCCTCTAGCTTGGATCTGCATCGGACCACACAAATCAGAATGAATCAATCCTAGAACACTCTCACTCATATACCCCTTTACCGAAAACGGTCTCTTGGCCATCTTACCTTCCAGGCATGATTCACAAGTTGGATAATCATCTTCTAGTGGACCGAGATGTCTGCTAGACACCAACTTTTGAATCCTCCTAAGGTTGATGTGCCCAAGTCTATGGTGTCAGAGATATGCTTGATTCATCTGCGAAGACTCCTTCCTCTTATTAGATTTAGTCAATACATTATTCAATTCAGATTTTTTCACTGTGGGATAGTTTGGTTTAAGAACATACAAATTGCCAACTAATGAACTATAACAAATTAAATGATTCCCATAACTAATAATAACCATGCCATTAAACGATGCAGAAAACCATCCATTGAAAGTCTAGAAACTGAAATAAGATTCTTTCTAAAACTCGAAATATAAAGGTAATGTCTCAAAACAAAACTAGTACTACCAAATAATAAAGTAACGTTTCCCACTGCAACAACCATCACTTTCATGGCATTGCCCATGTAGACGATGATCTCTCCCTCCTTAAGTCGTCTATCTTCTTGGAACCCCTGCAAAGATTTGCAGACATGATCAGTGGCTCCAGTATCCACACACAAGGTACTGGTAGATACAATCGCTAAACATGTTTGTACGACAAAAGCATGAGAATTACTTTCTTTGCCTTTGAGAAGAGGGAAGTCAACTTTCCATTGTCCTGGCTTGTTGCACTCGTGGCACTTCCCTTTCGGTTTCTTTGCCACTGCCTGAAGGGCCGGTCGTGGAACGACTGCAGCCATCTGTGTCTTCGCCTTTCCTGTAGAATTCTTACTCTTCTTGTCCTTGTTGGGCCAAGAGGAAGCTCTTGCCTGCTTGGCGACTAGCACCTAAGGTTTCTGACGAAACATGCCTTCTGTCGACTGAAGCTCTGCTAACAGTTCCGAAAGCGACATCAACATCTTATGCATGTTGTAGTTTAAACAAAACTAGTCAAAGCTCTTCGGCATAGACTGGAGCATGATATCAACCTTGGTTTCCCCATCAATAAAAGCTCCTAGGACCTCCAGCTCATTGAGCTATGCCATGACCCTTAGGGCGTGCTCCCTCACGGGTGTGCCCTCGACCATACGCATGTTCATAAGAGTCCTCATGGCTTCCTGCCGGCAACCCTAGACTTATGTCCAAACAGATTCTTGAGATTGAGGAGTATCTATGCCGCAGTGTTCATAGACTGATGCTGATGTTGAAGAACATTTGACATGGAAGCCTGAATGTAACACTGTGCCATCTCATCAGCCTTCTTCTACCGAGAATACTATTGTCTCTCCTAATTAGTGGCATTCGACCCGAGCTCATCCGAACAAGCCTCAGTGAGTACATATTTGTATCCTTCAGCAGTCAACACAATGTCTAAGTTCCTCTTCCGATCAATATAGTTCCTCAGTAAGTACATACTTGTACCCTTATTCTAAAATTAGTATTACATATGTTATCTAATTTAAGTGATTGTTTTTTAAATAAATTAATTTATTTTAATGTCATAGTAAAATTCCTTAAAATCGCATATGCAATTGTTACAATAATGTAAATTATTTTAGCTAAATAAGTGGTCTTGATCCCTCAAAATTATAAAATTACATTATTTATTATATTATATGCAATCAATATAGTGATTTATATATATGCAATTAAATCGTTATGTACTATTTATTTTAGCCAATGATCGAATTTAAAATAATCTTTTATCTAAGTTATAATTTTAATATTATATGCATAAGTATAACTTATAATACAATATTTTTAAAATATCATATCATTATCTAATTTATAATTTTAAAATTATATGAATAAATATAACTTATAATACTCTATGTTTAAAATATCTCTTTCGTTCTCGTTGAGTTTCAAATATAATATCTCTTTCGTTTCGAAAAAATAACGTTTAAAATATAATCACATTATCTAATTTATAATTTTAAAATTATAAACATACAAATAATTTATAATACTTTATTTACAACTGTGCAAATACGTAAGGTAGAACACTAGTGTATTTTGAAAGTTAATAACTTTTGTGTTCTTTATCAATTTGACATTTTTAATGTATCTAATTAATTATCTTTTGATGAAATTCGATTTGACATCCATATTGTATGTATAAAATAAATAAATTATATTTACAACAATAATAAAATTATTTATTAGTATTAATTTGAAAAATATAATTATTTATTAGTTAATATATTTAGGTTTAAAATAGTTATGTGACAGAAGTTAGAAAAATTACTATAATATAACACATGTAAGACTCACAAGTAAATAATACTTAATATATTACATATTTTTGTACAAAAAATTCTAAATTTAAAAAAAAAATTCTCATTAATTTTAAAATTTAAGAATATTTTTTTTAACAAGTAGGTGTTGTAGATATAGAATAGAATATATAATAAAATTTCCTTACGATCCTCTCACTCACTGTTTCGCACTCCACCC